TACTCCATTTTTATTTTGTAATTTTTCGAATTTTCAATCTTTTGATTTTTCAACTTTTTTGTTTTTTCATATTTCGACTTGATTTTGAATTTTTCGACTTTTTTCCCGATTTTTTAACTTTTCCGATTTCTGAAATATCGATTTTCCATTTTTTAGTATTTCCAGTTTTATTTTGAAAACTTACTGTTTTGCAAATTTTCATTTTTCGATTTTTCAACTTTTGCATTTTTCGGATTTTCATTTCTTTTTATTTGCAATTTTTTTGAGTTTCAATTTTAATTTCTTCAAATTTTGGGTTTTTCTACTTTTCAATGTTTCCGTTTTCCAGTCATTTGAATCTTTATTTTTCCGATTTCTCAATTACTTTTACAATTTTTTAATTACTTAACTTTTTTTTGTTAATTATCGATTTTTCAGTTTTTCCAATTTTATTTAGTAATTTTTCTATTGTATAAATTTTCAAATTGGAATTCTTCGAGCTTTTAATTTAAAATTGTTCAATTTCTCGATTTCCCTCAGTATACAGGGTTTCACATTTTTCAATTTCGAGCATTCAGTTTTAAATTCTAGAGTTTTTACATTTTTCTGTTTTTTCATTTTCCATTTTCTTGGTGTTGAATTTTTGGATTTTTTCATTTTCCGATTTATTTTCGAGTTCTCAATTTAAAATTTTCCGTTTTTCAACTTTTGAATGTTTCGGTTTTTCATGTTTCCGATTTTTAATTTATCCATTTTAAATTTTTCTAGTATTTCGAGTTTTATTTTGCAAACTTTCCGTTTTACAAATTTTCATTTTTCGATTTTTCAGCTTTTGAATGTTTCGGTTTTTCAGGTTTTGATTTTTTAGTTTCTGTATTTTTCGGTTTTTTCAATAATTTCATTTTTGATTTGCTATTTCTTTGAGTTTCAATTTTAAATTCATCAAATTTTCGATTTTTCTCCTCTTCAATTTTTCGATTTTTCAGTTATTTGATTTTTTATTTTTCCGATTTCTCCAATAATCCATTCTTCGAATTTTATTTAGCAATTTTTCAATTTTACAATTTTTTAATTTACATTTTTTTGTGTTAATTATTCATTTCCCAGTTTTTCGAATACTATTTAGTAATTTTTGTTTTACAAATTTTCAACTTGCAATTTTTCGAGTTTTCAGTTTTAAATTCTTCAAAGTTTCGGTTTTTCGCTATTAAAATTACCAGTTTATCCATTTTTCAGTTTTGCTGATGTTGATTTTTTTATTTTTTTCATTTTCCGATTTTATTTAGAGTTTTCAGCTTAAAATTTTCGGTTTTTGAATTTTTGAATTTTTCGGTTTTTCGCTTTTCCGATTTTTTATTTTTTGGTATTTCGAGTTTTACTCTGCAAACTTTTTGTTTCACAAATTGTCATTTTTCGATTTTTCAGATTTTGAATTTTTCGGTTTTTCAATTTTTTGAGTATTCATTTTCTCAATTTTTTTTTGATTTTTCAATAATTCTATTATTGATTTACAATTTTTTGAGATTCAATTTTAAATTCTTTAAATTTTTCAGTTTTGCAGATGTTGAATTTTTGATTTTTTTCATTTTCCGAATTTCTTTCTAATTTTCGATTTAAAATTTTCGGTTTTCCAATTTTTGAATTTTTCGGTTTTTCGTTTTTCTAATTTTTAGTTTTCTTGGTATTTCGAGTTTTCCTTTGCAAACTTTCTGTTTTACACATCTTCATTTTTCGATTTTTCAGCTTTTGAATGTTTCGGTTTTTCAGTTTTTTGTTTTTTCAGTTTTTCATTTTTTTGATCTTTCGATAATTCCATTATTAATTTGCAATTCTTCAAATTTTTTATTTTTTTCCTCTTCAATTTTTCGATTTTCCAGTTATTTGATTTTGTATTTTTCCGATTTCTCAAATACTGCATTATTTGATTTTTATTAAGCAATTTTTCAATTTTACAATTTTTTTATTCATATTTTTTTGTTAATGATTGATTTTCCAGTTTTTTCGAATTTTATTTAGCAATTTTTGGTTTACAAATTTTTTTGCATTATTAAAATTTTGTCTTTCCTTTTTTCGGTTTCTTGATATTGAATTTTTGGATTTTTCATTTTCCGACTTATTTTTCGAGTTCAATTTAAAATTTTCGGTTTTTCAGCTTCTCAATTTTTCGGTTTTTCGTTTTTCCGATTCTCAATTTTTCGACTTTGAAGTTTTTGGTATTTCGAGTTTTATTTTGCAAACTTTTTGTTGTACAAATTTTCATTTTTGAATTTTTCGGCTTTTGAATGTTTCGATTTTTCATTTTTTTAATTTTCTCCATTTTTCGACTTTTGTAATTTTTTGAGTTTCAATTCAATATTTCGATTTTCCAGTTATTTAATTTTTTATTTTTCCGATTTCTTCATGACTCCATCATTCGATTTTTATTTTGCAATTTTTGGATTTCACAATTTTTTAATTCATTAATAATTGATTTTCTGGTTTTTCAAATCTTATTTTACAATATTTTCATTTTACAAATTTTCGATTTGCAATCCTTTGATTTTCCAAATTTTCAATTTAATAATTTCGTTATTACAATTTTTCGGGTTTTCAATTTTAGATTTTTCGGTTTCCCTATTTTACGATTTTCAACTTTTTTGTTTTTTCATATCATTTTTGTGTTTCACATTTCGGCTTAATTTTGACTTTTTCGATTTTTCTTTTTCCGGTTTCGTTCCGATTTTTTGATTTTTCAATCATTCCATTTTTTAGTGTCTCGATTTTTATTTTTCAACTTTTCGATTTTTTAATTTTTAGATCTGCAATTTTTCGAGTTTTCAATTTTAAATTTTCGGTTTTCCAACATTTGAACTTTTCGGATATTAGCTTTCTCGATTTTCAAATTATCGTTGTCCATTTTTTACTTCGAGTTTTATTTTGCGATCTTTGTTTAACAAATTTTCTTTTCTCGATTTTTCAATTTTTGGATTTTTTAATTTCAATTTTAAATTCTTCAAATTTTCGGTTTTTCTACTTTACGATTTTCCAGTTATCATTTTTTTTCCGATTTCTTAATTCCTCGATTTTTAATTTTGTAATTTTTTCGATTTTACAATTTTTTAATTTACATTTATTTTTTTATAATTTTTCGGTTTTTCAAATCTTATCTTGCAGTTTTTCAATTTTCGATTTGCTTTTCTTCGAGTTGTCAGTCTTTTGAATTTTCAACTTTTTTTTTCATATTCCGGCTTGATTTTGAGTTTTCCGACTTTACTATTTTCTGATTTTTTGATTTTTTAATCATTCCATATTTTTAGTGTTTCGATTTTGAATTTTCAATTTATCGATTTTTCAACTTGATTTTTTTTTATTTTTCAGTTCCTCCATTTTTCGGTTCATTTCATTGTTGATTTGCAATTTTTTTGAGTTCCAATTTTAAATTTTTCAAATTTTCGGCTTTTCTACTTTTCAATTTTTCAATTTTCCAGTTATTTGATTTTTTATTTTTCTGTTTTCATTTTTTTTATTAGTAACTGATTTTTCGGTTTTTCGAGTCTTGTTTTGAAATTTTTCAAGTTTTCAATATTTTGATTTTTCAGATTTTCTATTTTATAATTTCTATATTACAATTTTTTCGGTTTTCAATTTTAGATTTTTCGTTTCTCGATTTTCCGGTTTCCCCAACTTTTTTTTTATATTTTTTGGTTTTTCTTTTTTTTGATTTTTCACATTTCGGCTTGATTTTGAATTTTTCAACTTTTTTTTTGATTTTTTGATTTTTCAATCACTATTTTTTAGTGTTTCGATTTTAATTTTTTTAATTAACCCTTTTTTCAGCTTTTCGGTTTTTCAATTTTTGAATTTCTGGGTAGTTGGTTTTTCCGATTTTTAATTTATCGATTTTCCATTTTTTATGTCCAGTTTAATTTAGCAATCTTTTTGTTTTATTTTACAAATTTTCTTTTTTCGATTTTTCATCTTTTGAATTTTTTGGTTTTTCGATTTTTTGATTTCTCAGTTTATCCATTTTCGACTTTTTCAATCATTTCATTTTTGTTTTTCAATTTTTTAAGTTTCAATTTTAAATTCTTCAAATTTTCGGTTTTTCTACTTTTTAATTTTTCGATTTTCCAGTTCTTTGATTTTCTATTTTGCAATTTTTGGATTTTACAATTTTTTAATTTGCGTTTTTTTATTAATAATTGATTTTTTAGTTTTTCGAGTTTGCAATTTAGCCCATTTTTCAACTTTTCAATTTTTCGTTTTTCCGATTTTCAATGTTGTTGGTATTTTAAGTTTTATTTTGCAAACTTTCTGTTTTACAAATTTTCATTTTTCTATTTTTCGGCTTTTGAATGTTTCGGTTTTCCAGTTTTTTGATTTGTAATTTTTTTGAGTTTCTATTTTAAATTCTTCAAATTTTTGGTTTTTCACCTTTTCTATTTTTATTTTGCAATTTTTCGATTTTACAATTTTTTAATTCACATTTGTTTTTTGTTAATTACTGATTTTTCAGTTGTTTGAATTTTATTTAGCAATTTTTCTGTTTTATAAATTTTCAACTTGCAATTTTTCGAGTTTTTAATTTAAAATTGTTCAATTTTCGGTCTTCAGTTTTCAGGTTTTCACATTTTTTCAATTGTCCCATTTTTCGAGTTTTCAGTTTTAAATTCTTCAAAGTTGCATTTTTTTCATTACTAATTTTTTCTGTTTTTCCATTTTTCATTTTCTCGCTATTCAATTTTTGTTTTTTTTTTATTTTCAGATTTATTTTTGGTGTTTTCGATTTCAAATTTTTCGATTTTTCAGTTCTTCAAATTTTCCGATTTGTCAATTATTCCAATTTTTAGTTTTTCTAGTTTCCATTCACAATTTTTTATTTGAAATTTTACGGTTTTTCAATTTTTCAACAAAAAATAGAAATAACCACGAATAAAAACTTAAAAACAATGAATAATATTCGAAATTAATATATGTGGTAATCAAGGGTTAAACTTGCCGCACTACAGACAACTCTAGGGGTTCACCGCTCAAACACTCACCTGTATATTTAACTCTAAATTTTTCCATTGACAAAACCTAGTGTACTTCTCGCTGAAACAAAAAAAATCAACTTGTACAAGGCCCCCTTTTCACTAAACAAAAGTCAAAACTCCTTCCTCCCTCAAAAAAACAAAGTAAATAAAAAACAAAACTAACGTTACCTATTCTCACCTTTCTAAAAATTTCTTGAACGGCTCGTCCCTTAAATGGTTATAAATTTCTTCTATGTAAGGCTGGAATAAAGAAGAGCCGTGTATCAGTGCGTCGCGTCGAATAAAAGCCGTCTTTTTTTCTCGATGGGACGTGAGCGGAATGTTAATGGGTGTCGCCGTGTCATATTTAGAATAACAGTGGCGTTCGAGTAATGGAAAAAGTTTTAATTAGAATTCAGTGGTCGTGCCCGAGAGCCGAGAAAAAAAGCCGGGAATTCATCTCGTCGACGTTCTCACCTCGAACAGTGTGACTGGAACGTCGTTCTTCATTAGGTGTTTCTGCACGTGCTGGAGGCACTCCTTCGAGTAGTCCTGCAAGAAAAATCACCGAACTTCTCAACGGCAATCTTGATAAAAGCGGTACAGAGACGACGGTGTGGCGACCCGAAATGGGTATTTAAAAAAAACGTGGTCGAAGGTTATTTTGACAGAACTTCCCTAGTTCTTGAAGTACGCCCACAAATCCAACTTTTTTGAAAAATCATAAATAATTTTGCGATTTTTGTTTTTTAAAACCTCTGTAAAACTAAACCCTGTGGTGTAAATAACACTCCAGCAGCTTTTTTGGTTTGAATTTTTCGACTTTTCAGTTTTCTCATTTTAATTTTGTTGAGTTTTCAAGTTTAAATTTTTCAGTCTTTCAATTTTCGGATTTCGCAATTTTTCGCTTCGTTTTTTTTATTACTTCTACAATTTATAATTTTTTGTTTTTTCAATTTTTGGTTTCTTAAATTTTTTGATTTCCAATTTTACAATGTTTCATTTTTTTGTCTCTTCCATTTTGCGACTTCTTCGAGTTTTCTTTTTTAAATTTCTCACTTTTCGATTTTGCAATTTTTCGATCTAAAATTTCTCAAGTTTTCAATTTTTAAGCTTTCAATTTTTCGTTTCGGTTTTTTTTTCAGTTTTTATTTATTCAAAATTTCGACTATTTAATTTTTTGCTTCGTTTTTTTATTTTGACAATTTTTCGCCTTTTTTAATAATTACCTTCACAATTTTTCGATTTTTCAATATTCCCATTTTATAATTTTTCAAAATTTAATTTGTATTTTTAGTTTCGGATTTTTTTTTTCAATTTTTCGGTTTTTCAGTATTCTGATTTTAGTTTTTCGTTTTTTAATGTAAAATTTTTCAATTTTTGATTTTTCTTGTTTTAATTTTGAATATGCAATAATGAAAATAATTTTTATTTTTTTTTTATTTTTTGCAATTTTACGATTTTTTTTTCATTTATTCAATTTTTCAATTTTTAATTTTTGAATTTCTGGATATTTAGTTTTATAAGGTTTTTTTTCCTTCCGATTTTTAGATTCATTGATTTTTTTAGATTTTGTAAGTTTCTTGATTTTTAGTTTTTCATTGTTTCAATTTTTAGTTTCTTCTGTTCTTATAATTTCAATTTTTCGATTTTTCAACTTTTCGAATCAAACATTTTAAAATTGTAAAATCGAAAACTCAAAAATCAAACAACAAAAAAGTATAAAATGAAAACTTTTAAAAATCTGAAACTCGGAAACCAAGAACTTGAAGAATTAAAGAAGGAATTAAAATTGAAAAATTGGAAGATCAAAAACTGAGAAATTTATAATCGAAAAGGTGAAAAATTTAAAAACCAACTACTATAAATTGAAAATTAAAGAAATCGGAAAATCGGATAGTTAAGAAATCCAAAAATTTCAAAATGGAAAATTTGAGAAATTTAAGTAGTGAAAAAGCCAAAAATTGTGATATAAAATTGAGAAAATGAAAATTAAAAAATCGGGAAAATGAAAAAACTTACAATTTTTTTCACTTCACAATTTTGACGTTCTACAATTTTCCGATTTTCCAATTTTGGGGGTTTTCCAATTCTTCAATTGGATTGGTTCTTTCTTTTTTCCAATTTTTCGATTTTTTTCGATTTTTTAGTTTCTCGTTTTTCAGTTTTTCAATATTTCCATTTTTCGTTTCTTCAGTTCTTCGATTTTCCTCTTATTTCGATTTGTCAATTTTTGGGGTTTTTTGGTTTTTCGATTTTTAATTTTTCTATTTTTCAATTATTCGATCTTTCAACGTTTCAAATCAAAAATTTCAAAATTGTAAAATCGAAAACTGAAAAATGAAACAACAAAAAAGTATAAAATGAAAACTTTTACAAATCTAAAACTTGGAAACCAAGAACTTGAAGAATTAAAGAAAGAATTAAAATTCAAAAATTGGAAGATCAAAACTTGAGAAATTTTAAAGTCGAAAAAGTGAAAAATTGAAAAAACCAACTACTGTAAAATGGAAATATTGAAAATTAAAGAAATCGGAAAATCGGATAATTAAGAAATCCAAAATTCCAAAATAGAAAATTTGAGAAATTTAATTAATGAAAAAACCAAAAATTGTGATATACAATTGAGAAAACGAAAATTAAAAAATCGGGAAAACGAAAAAAGTTACAATTTTTTTCACTTCACAATTTTGACGTTCTATAATTTTCCGATTTTCCAATTTTGGGGGTTTTCCAATTCTTCAATTGGATTCGTTCTTTCTTTTTTCCAATTTTTCGATTTTTTTCCATTTTTTAGTTTCTCGTTTTTTAGTTTTTCAACAATTGGATTTCTGGTTTCTTAAGTTCTTCGATTTTCCACTTTTTTCGATTTTCTTCTTATTTTGATTTGTCAATTTTTGGGCTTTTTTGGTCTTTCGATTTTTAATTTTTCTATTATTCAATTATTCGATTTTTCAACTTTTCGAATCAAAAACCCGGAAAATTTTTAAAGAAATCGGAAAATCAGTCAATGGAGAAATTCAAAAATTGTAAAATTGAAAATTTAAAAAATTGAAGTAAAGAAAACTTACAAAATCGAAAAAAACAATGAAAAAATAAAGGAACTGAACAATAAAAATCAAAGTTCCGATTTTTAAAGTTTGGGATTTTGACGTTCTATAATTTTTCGATTTCACAATTTTGGAGTTTTCCAATTTTTCGATTCAATAACCTTTTTCGATTTGTAATTTTTCAATGTTTCAATTTTCCGTTTCTTCAGTTCTTTCGATTTTCCATTGCTTCGATTTTGCAATTTATAGTTTTTCAGTTTTTTGATTTTACAATCTTTTTCAATTTTTTTAGTTTCTAGTTTATTACTTTTTCAATATTTCGATTTCTCGTTTCTTCAGTTCTTCGATTTTCAATTTTTCGATTTTCCACTCTTTTTTCTATTTTCCTCTTATGTCGATTTGTCAATTGTTGGGGTTTTTTGATTTTTCGATTTTTAATTTTTCAACCTTTCGAATCAAAAAACCGGAAAATTTTTACGGAAATCGGAAAATCAGACAATGGAGAAATCCAAAAATTGTAAAATTGAAAATTTAAAAAATTGAAGTATCAAAGTTCCAATTTTTCAACTTCGGGATTTTGACTTTCTATAATTTTTCGATTTCACAATTTTGGAGTTTTCTAATTTTTCGATTTAATAACCTTTTTCGATTTTTAGTTTTTCAATGTTTCAATTTTCCGTTTTTTCAGTTCTTTCGATTTTCCATTGGTTCGAATTTGCAATTTATAGTTTTTCAGTTTTTTGATTTTACAATCTTTTTCGATTTTTTAGTTTCTAGTTTATCACTTTTTCAATATTTCGATTTCTCGTTTTTTCAGTTCTTCGATTTTCAATTTTTCGATTTTCCACTTTTTTCGATTTTCCTCTTACGTCGATTTCTCAATTGTTGGGGTTTTTTGGGTTTTCGATTTTTAATTTTTCAACTCTTCGAATCAAAAAACCGGAAAATTTGTTAAAGAAATCGGAAATTCCGACAATGGAGAAACCCAAAAATTGTAAAATTGAAAATTCGAAAATTGAAGTAAAGAAAAATTACAAAATTGAAAAAACATTGAAAAAATAAAGGAACTGAACAAGAAAAATAAAAGTTCCACTTTTTCAACTTTTGAATTTTGACGTTCTAAAATATTTCGATTTCACAATTTTGGAGTTTTCCAATTTTTAATTTAAATATAAAAAATTACAAAACGAAAAAAAATTAAATGATAACTTTGAGAAATCGGAAAATTGGAAGTCAACAACTTGATGCATTGAAGAAACGAAAAACTGGAAATAAAAATTGAAAAACTTAAAAACCGGAAAAATGCAAAATCCAAAAAAACCAAATTGTAACATCAAAATCATGAAAATGGAAGAAATCGGAAAACCGGATAATTCAGAAATCCAAAAATTGCAAAACTCATAAATTAATATCACTTTGGAGAACCGAGGAATTGAAAATCGGAAAAAGGAAAACTAAAAAATTGGGAAAATGAAAAATAAATATCAAAGTTACAATTTTTTGATTTTAGAATTTTGACGTTTTGTAAATTTTCGATTTTACAATTTTCTATTTTCTATCTATTTTTTTTCTTAGATTCGTTTTTTCTTCTTTCAAATGTTTCGATTCATCAATTTTTCGTTTCTTCAGTTCTTCGATTTTCAATTTTTTGGTTTCCCACTGTTTTTCGATTTTCCTCTTTTCCAATTTTCATTTTTTTTTTGTTTTTTCGATTTCTATTCAATTTTTCGCTTTTTCAACTTTTCGAATCAAAAAACAGGAAAATTTCCAAAATTGTAAAATCAAAAACGAAAACTTTGAAAAATTTTAAAATTGGAAATCAATTAAAAATTTAAGAAACGAAAAATTGAACAATCGAAAAAATGAGTTACTGTTAAATTGAAATATTGAAAATTAAAAAAATCGGAAAATGGGACACCGAAATCCAAAAATTGCAAAACTGAAAATCTGAATGAAGGAAAAATTATAAAATCGAAAAAGGGAATGAAAACACAAAAAATTGTGGTATAAAATCCTGAAAATGGAAAATAAAAAATCGGGAAAATGAAAATAAAAAAAAATCTGGAAAATGTATAATAAAAATCAAATATACACTTTTTCGCCTTTATAATTTTCGATTTTACAATTTCTGGATTATCCAATTGTTCCATTCAATTCGTTTTTTCTTCTTCCAATTTTTCGATTTATTAATTGTTTTCGATTTTTAAGTTTCCAATTTTTTAGTTTTCAGTGTTTGAAATTTTCGTTTAGTTTTTCGATTTTTCAAACTTTTCGAATCAAAAAACCGGAAAATTTTCAAAATTGAAAAATGGAAAAATCTAAAAATTGGAACACAAGAATTTGGAAAATTCAAGAAACGAAAACGAAAAATGGGATAATAGAAAAATTCAAAAATTGTAAAACTCAAAATTTTAAAAAATTAAGTAAAAAAAATACAAAATCGAAAAAAACATTGAAAAAATAAAGGAACTGAACAATAAAAATCAAAGGTCCAATTTTTCAACTACAGATTTTGACGTTCTATAATTTTTCGATTTCACAATTTTGGAATTTTCCAATTTTTCGATTCAATAAGCTTTTTCGATTTTTAATTTTTCAATGTTTCAATTTTCCGTTTCTTCAGTTCTTTCGATTTTCCATTGGTTCGATTTTGCAATTTATAGTTAATAGAAAAACTTCAAAATTGTATAATTTAAATATCAAAAATAAAAAAAACGAAAAAAAAAAATGAAATGAAAACTCTTAAATCTAAAAAATCGGAAGATTAAAAACTGAAAAACTTAAAAACCAGAAAAGTGCAAAATCCAAAAAAACGAAAATTGTAAAATCAAAATTTTGAAAATTAAAGAAATCGGGAAATTCAGAAATCCAAAAAAAACTGATAAATTTCAAATTGGAAAACCGAGGAATTGAAAAATCGAAGACTGAAAACTCAGAAAATTGAATAAACTAAAAATTATACATAGAAATTGAAGAAACATTGGAGCATAAAGGAAATGAAAAAACGAAAAATTGTGAAATAAAATCGAGAAAAGGAAAATAAAAAAAAAATAAGGAAAATGAAAAATAAAAATCAAAGTTACAATTTTTTTACTTGACAATTTTAACGTTTTCAAATTTTTCGATTCATCAATTTTTCGTTTCTTCAGTTCTTCGATTTTCAATTTTTTGATTTTCCTCTTTTTTCCGATTTTCATTTTTTGGGGTTTTTTTTGTTTATTCAATTTTTACTATTTTTCAATTTTTCGCTTTTTCAATTTTTCGAATGAAAAAACCGGAAATTTTCCAAAATTGTAAAATCAAAAATGAAAAAACGAAAGAATACAAATGAAAACTTTGAAAAATCTTAAAATTGAAAATCAATAAAAAATTTAATAAACGAAAAATTGAGAAATCGAAAAGGTGAGATACTGTAAAATCCAATCCAAAAATTGCAAAATTAAATATCTGAAAAAAGGAAAAATTATAAAATCGAAAAAAAAATGAAAAAATAAAGGGAACGAAAAAACTAAAAATTGTGATATAAAATGGAGAAAAATGAAAATTAAAAAATCGGGAAAATGAATAATAAAAATCAAAGTTACACCTTTTTTTACAATTTCTGGGTTTTCCAATTTTTCCATTAATTAATTTTTTAGGTTTTCAAGTTTCTCGATTTTTAGATTTTCAACGTTTCAATTTTTCGTTTCTTCAATTCTTCGATTTTCCGATTTTCCTCTTTCTCCGATTTGCTAAATTTTTGGGGTTATTTGGTTTTTCGATTTTTAATTTTTCAATTTTTCAACCTTTCGAATCAAAACACCGAAAAATTTTCAAAATTGTTAAATGGAAAAATTCAAAAAGTGGAAGACAAAAATTAAAGGAATCGGAAAATCGCACAATAGAGAAGTCCAAAAATTGTAAAATTAAGTAAAGAAAAATAAAAAAATCGAAAAAATATTGAAACAATAAAGAAACTGAACAATAAAAATGAAAGGTCCAATTTTTCAACTTTTCCAATCAAAAACTGGAAAAATTTCAAAATTGTAAAAATTTAAAAATCAAAAATGAAAAAAAGAAAAATTATAACATAAAAACTTCGAAAAATCAAAAAATTGGAAATCAAGTGCTTCAAAAATTTAAGAAAAAAACTTGAAAAAACCTAATATTTTTTTAATCGAAATTTTGAAAATTAAAGCAAATCGGAAGATTGGATGATAGAGAATCCAAAAATTGTAAAATAGATAATTTGAAAAATTTAATAAACGAAAAATTAGACAGTCGAAAGAAACATTGAAAAAAGAAAGGAAATGACAAAAAGAAAAATTGTGATATAAAATCGAGAAAATGAAAATTAAAAAAAAAATGAGAAAACGAAAAATAAAAGGCAAAGTTACTATTTTTCGACTTTCCAATGTTGACGTTGTATAATTTTTCGATTTTCGAATTTTAAGTTCTTCTATTTTCAATTTTTCTATTTTTCAATCTTTTCTGATTTTCCAATCAAAAAAAAAACCGAAAGAGTATAAAATAAAAACTTCTAAATAAGTCTGTCTAATAAAATTCGGACAGACGGCAGACAGATATACAGACAGACAGACAGACGGAAACAGCAGACCAATTTTTTCGCACTCTAGGGGTCATGAAACGTCTAGAAAACACAAAACTAGCCATCTTACGCTCAGAAAGCAAAAATCCACATGTTTTGGGTAAAAAATAAAGGCGGATTCATAAACCACAACTATACAACACACACACGCACACAAAAAAACTTACGTGTGACCTCGCCAGCAGCTCCTTCATGATAAAGTTATCATAGATATCCCTCGCCTGCTTCATCCTATCTTCGGCGCATTCGAGCTTCTCGTAAGCCTTTATCTGCAAACAAAACGTGAATGACAATCGGGGCGACGTAATCGGATCAAGTGCACCGCAAGACACCGAAGTTGCTCGGAACTCCCGAAATGAGTTTATCATTACGGCAAGAAATGCGAGCGTGTAGATTCACGGAACGTTAGTCAACGGTCGGGGGATTTTAGATTGGAGTGGAAATTTGCATGCAGCTTCCGCCTCCAAAGTGATTTTTTCGCGGGGTCGTGGAGGAACGAGCCGGTTTCACTTTTAAAACCCACAATGACGGCGGCGGCGGCGGGGGAAAAATCGAAGGCGGCGGGCTCGAGATTGAAGATTAAAAGGGAGCGGTGTTGTGTCTGGTGGTTGTCGAGGGGATGGCTTACGGTGGGAGAAAAACACGCACGGAAAGGGGGAGTTTTGCGGGTCTTACAAACTTAACTCCTCGTATGAGTTAATTTGTCCAAAGCGTTTTTTTTTTAATTCGCTCGACTGAAAAGATTTAAGTTAAACTGTTTCGGATTTAAAAATATCACCTTCAATCATGGATTAAGTGTGGTATTTTTTCGAATTATTCCTTTATTATTTATAGTTTTCCGACTTTAATTTATCCTATTTTAGAAATTTTTCGATTTTTCATTTTTCCGATTTTTCATTTTTTGATGTGCAATTATTCGAATTTTCAATTTTAAATTATTAAATTTTTCGGGCTTTCAAATTTAAAGTTTTACACTTTTTTTATTTTCGAATTTGCGATTTTGGTGTTACCATTTTCCCGTTTTTTAAATTACAATTATTTCAATTTTCGATTTATTTTTCCAGTCTTTCATTAAAATTTTTATTTTTCAATTTTTCGATTTTTATTTTGAAAATATTCGAGCTGATAATTTTTAACATTTCAACTTTCAAATTTTTAGAAATTTTAATTTTTCGTTTCTTACCTTTTTTAATTTTTGAATTTCGATTTGTCGCTTTTTCAGTTTTTCGAAAACCGCGCTGAGAAATTAAAAATTGAGAAAATGAAACATTAAAAATCAAGACTTAATGAAAATCTAATTAAAAAAATTGAAAGTTGAAAAACCAAAAAATTGAAAAATTTCAAATTGAAAACTCGAAAAATTGAAACATTGAAAAATTTTAATTTCAAAACTCGAAAAATAAATCGAAATAACGGAAAAATGAAAAACCAAAAACTGAAAAAACGAAAAATTGGGAAATTTAGAAGTTGAAAGAACCGAAATTTTAATTTTAAAATGAAAACTGGAACAATCGCAAACAAAAAAATTGGAAAATCGAAAAATTGCCAACTTGGAAAATTGATGAACCTAAAAATTGAAAAACTGAAGAAACGAAACACGGAAAAGTGGAAAAAAGGAATAAAAAAAATACCACTGAGAAACTGAAGACTGAAAAATAGAAATTTCAAACTGAAAAATTAAAAACCGAGAAACTAAAAATCGAGAAAACGAAATAATGAAATAACTAAAAATTGAAAAAATTAAAAATTGCGAATAGAAAATGAATAGGAAAAAAGGAAAAATCAAAAAACGAGGAACTGAAAAATTGAAAAAAACGAGAAATTAAAATATCTAAAAATCGAGAAATTTTAAGTTACAAACATGAAATAAAAATCGAAAAACCAACAAAATCAAACAATGGAATATAAAAATTCGAGAAACTGAAATCGAAAAGTTGAAAACTCAAAAATTTAATATTGAGAACTCAAAAATTGAAAAATTCGAAATTTGAAAAATCAGAAAATTGCAAATCGGACCACCGAATATGAAGAAACTGAAAAAAAATCAAAAATCAAAAACTGAAAAATCAAAAATTTAAAACTGAAAATTCGAATAATTGAAAACCAAAAAATGGAAAACTCGAAAAATTGCAGCGCAAAAACGGAGAAACTAGAAAATTAAAATATCTAAAAATTGGAATAGTAAAAACTGAAAAATCGAAACATTAAAAAATTTAAAACTGAACTCAAGAAAAAACTGGTGAAAACGAAAAACCGAAAAACGAGAAATAAAAAACCGAAAATTCGGAAAATTTAAAATTGAAGACTCGGATAATAATTGCAAATCAAAAAACTGAAAATCTGTAAACTTGACAATTAAAAAATGGAAAAATTATAAAAGTGAAAGCACAAAAAAAGAAATCAAACAATCGGAAAAATAAAAAACCAAAAATTGACAAAACGAAAAACAGAAAAAATTTAGAAGTTAAAGACACGAAAAGTTGAAAAATGAATGAAAAAAATTAAAAACCTGAAAACAGGAATAAAAAAAAAAATAAAATGAGAAACTGAAAAATCTGAAAATTGTGAATCGAAAAATTGACACTAAAAAATTGAAAATCGAAAACTAGAAATAGAGAAAATGAATATTGAAGAAATGAAAAAAGGAAAAATCATAAAACGAAAAACTAAAAAAATGGAATGAAAAATCGGAATATAAAAAAAAATGAGAAACTGAAATCGAAATCTTGAAAACCCAAAAATTTATAATAGAAAATTCGAAAATTTTAAAAATTCGAAATTTAAAAAATCAGGAAATTGCAAATTGAGAAACTGACGATGAGAGTCTGAAAAATCGGAATATTCAAAAATTAGAAAGTTGAAAAATCACCAATTTAAAATTGAAAATTCAAAAATGGAAAAAAGGAATCGTGAGAAACCTGAAAAATGGAGAATCTGAAAAATCAAAATATCTAAAAATTGAAAAATTAAAAAGTTGAAAAATCGAAACATTGAAAAATGTAAAATTGAAAACTCAGAAAATTGCAAAAAAATCGAAAAAACAAAAATCGTTAAAATCGAGAAAAAAAAACGAAAATTCGAGAAATATAAAACCGAAAACTCGGAAAATTGTAAATCAAAAAACTGAAAACACGAAAAAGAAATCGAAAAATCGGAAAAATAAAAAAACAAAAATTGACAAAACGAACGAAAAACTGAAAAATGGAACACAGGAATAAAAAAATTAAAAATGAGCAAGTGAAAAATCTGAAAATTGTAAATCGAAAAATTGAAGCTAAAAAATTGAAAACCGAAAAACTAGAAATTGAGGAAATGGAAATTAAAATATCAAAAAATTGAAAAATCGAAAAATTGAGAAGTTTAAAATTGCAAACTTATAATAATATGAAAAATCGGAATATAAAAAAATCGAGAAACCGAAATCGAAAAGTTGAAAATCCAAAAATTTTAAATCCTTACTCGAAAATTTCAAAAATCGAAATCTGAAAAATTCAAAAATTAGAAAGTTGCAAAATAAAAAATTTAAAATTGAAAATTCAAAAATGGAAAACCCAAAAAATGGAAACGCGAAAACTTGCAAAATAAAAATCGAAAAAAGAAATCATGAGAAGTTTGAAAAATGGAGAAAATGAAAAATTAAAATAGTCGAAAAATGAAAAATCTAAATATTTTAAATTGAAGGAAACGTGAAAAATAAATCGAAAAATCAGAAATATAAAAAATCAAACTGAAGAATTTAGAAGTTGAACGACCGAAAATTAGAGAAATTCTAAACTGAAAAATCAAAAAATTTATGATACAAGAATTAATGTCGTGAAACTGAAAATTCATAAACTTGAGAATTTGAAAAACTAAAAAAATCGCATAGTGGAATGAAAAATCGTAATATAAAAAATCGAGAAACTGAAATCCAAAAGTTGAAAACCCAAAAATTTAAAATGGACAAATCCCGAAATTAGAAAGTTGAAAAATCAAAAATTTTAATTGAAAAATCGAAAAAGGAATCATGAGAAGTCTGAAAAGTAGAGAAAATGAATCATTATCCAAATAATGAAAAATCAAACATTTTAAATTGAAGGAAACGCGTAAAATAAAACAAAAAAACTGACTGACGAAAATTTGAGAAATTTTAAACTGAAAAATCGAAAAAATAAATAAAACAAGAATTAATCTTGTGAAACTGAAGATTTAAAAACATGAAAATTTGAAAAACTAAAAAATCGAACATTGGAATGAAAAATCAGAATAAAAAAATCGAGAACCTGAAATCGAAAACTTGAAAAGCCAAAAATTTAAAATTGAAAAATTCCAAACCTAGAAAGTTGAAAAATCAAAAATTTAAAATTGAAAATTATAAAAATTGCATCGCGAAAACTAAAAATCGAAAAAAGGAATCATGAGAAGTTTGAAAAATGGAGAAACTGAAAAACTGAAATATCCAAAGTAATAATGAAAAATCAAAACATTTTAAATTGAAGGAAACGCGAAAAATAAATCGAAAAATCAGAAAAATAAAAAATCAAAAAACTGTAGAATTTAGAAAAATTTTAAAGTGAAAATCGAAAAAATTAACAAGAATTAATATTGTAAAACTGAAAATTTAGAAACTTGAAAAATCGAACAACGGATTGAAAAATCGCAATATCTAGACACCGAAAACTCGAAAATTTAAAAATTCGAAATTTGAAAAAGCAGGAAATTGCAAATCGAACAAGTGAAAATGGAGAACCTGAAAAATCAAAAAATTCAAAAATTAAATCCAAAAATGGAAAATTCAAACAATTGCAACCAGAAAGCTTGCAAAATAAAAATCGAAAAAAGGAATCGGAAGAAGTCTAAAAAATGGAGAAATAATGAAAAATCAGAAAAATAAAAAATTGAAGACTTCAGACTTAAAAATAAAATAAAAATGAAAAATTAGAATGTTTCAAAAATGAAACAAAAAATGGAAAATAGAAAATCGACGAAGATTGAAAAAGCGAAAAACTAAATTTCAAAATTTGAAAAATCCAAAAATTCAAAAGTTGAATTGATAAATTCAAAATACGAAAATGAAAATTTCAAAAAATTGAGAAATTGGAAAAATCGAAAATAAAAATATATCAAAATCCACAAATTTTAAATTGAATACTCGTAAAATTGCATAATAAAATTCAAATTTCGAAAGCAACGACTAAAAAAATCAAAAATGAAATAATTGAAAATTGTGTTTCATATAAAATAATCGAAAAATTAAAAATCGAGGAAACCTGCAAAATTGAAAAAACAA